ATCAGATCAATATTCTGCTCAGGTTTCCATCTAGTTTTCCCCTCTAATTGCATATTAATAAACAATGTCCCCGTCATTGATTCAATTACAAATCCAAAGTCTGCATCTTCATGAGGATTTATGCCAAGTTTATGGTCCACTAACTAACCCCAAAATGCACACAAAACTTCCTTGCAAGCGGAGTTTCCTCTAGAAACTCCTTCAGAAACTGCTCCTGCACGCCGATAAAACTCCTTCCATAAAACTCGTTTATTCCATATCTGACTTTGAGCAAATTGTAGTTTTCCCTCAATCTGCATACATTTTCCTACCCGACTATGACAACAACAATAAGTCACAAAAAGTTTTCCCCTTCCTTAGAACAATATTAACAAGAAAGGACATTTTTTGGGGATTGAAACGAAGCATTTAATACACTTCTAGATCGATTTGGATGATGAGAATGTTAAATTATTTTGAATTTGTTTTTTCTTTGTCTATAATTTCCGTGGAATGTCGACTATTTTTGTTTTTCTGGGGTGCCCAACACTTGCATAACTATCGTATTACCCTTTGCAATAGGATATTCCCTGCAAGAACAGCTAGTAAAACCACAACAACAGTCATTAGATAAACAGACAAGGTGCAAGGTGTAAGGATGAATGGGCGTGGAGCAGCAGGTAGTGGAATGTTGGGGATGGAAAAGCAGTACAAACTCAAATAGAAATCAAACAAAAATCCAAAATCAAGAGTCATGCAAACTCTAGGAACAGCAGAGAAAAGCTGCAATCGAGAAAGTGTTAGAGAGAGAATGGAGGTGGAAATAAACAAATATCCTGGAAAATATCCAACACAAAAGTTGCTTCCTGCAACATCGTTTGTATGTAGTTTCTCTTGAAGCAGATGTTCCGTTACCTAGGAGTTTCCTCAAGTGAAAGGAGTAACAATTGAAAGATTGAAAAGAGATTTGAAAATGAAAATAAAGTTAATCGAAAAAATTGAAGGAATGTTTTTAAATGCAAAGAAAACCGTAATTTGGCTGAATAATGACATAGTGTTCCATTTCTAAGCTAAAAGGATTATGTTTTATTTTATACTGGATTTTTTAATGCTAGTAAAAAAAAAAGACTGTGTTGCAATGAAGCTTGTAGGATGTAGAATCCGAAAATGAAATGAGAAATGGAACAGAAAAAGAGGAAGAAGATAAAATCCCACTCCCACATCCCAATCCAATCCCAAAAACCTGGAAATATTCCATGAATTCTTATTTGATTTGATAGAATTTCTATACTATAGAAAACCTTTTGAAATGAAGTATTTTACAGTAAATAATAATAATAATGTACAAGATATTTCTCTTCTTGTTCCCTTAATTTCATAAAATTTATATAATTCATTATTCAATTTTTCAAATTATTCTTCATCAAAGTTTTATGTATAAATATGTAGCTCTCCAAGGCAATGAAACGAAAACCATTTTCACACTTAATTCAATCTTTTCGACTCATCCACCCACTCCACAATTTTTGCCCACCATTCATGTTCATTCATGTTCAAAACGTAATTCAGGCAAAAGCTTTACCTCGAAACAAACAGCTGTTCCTTATCTGACAAGCTTTACCATCCACAAAGCTTGCCCCTTGCCTTGCTGAATATGAAGGGGAAATATCAAGAGAGCAGAGAGCGAAAGCCTTGAGCAACGATAGACTTTGTGGATGGTAAGCTCTTTTTGAGTGTGGAGCTTTTAAGAGAACTACAACAAATCGTGTAAATTTTAAAGGCTTCTAGCGACGAAATAGTCTAAAACCCCAGCTGAAAATCTTAACAAAACCTAAAATATTTGCCAAATTGAGACAAAGATAATCTCTTAAGTCTCTTCATAGAGACAGCCGTTAAGAGAGCCATGTTATCACATGAAACAACTGTGCCACATACAACAACAAGCTTTTCCTTGCATGTCCTTTATAATGTGCTGCTCTGAGGTGCTGCCTATTTGTGTGTCTGTGTGTGTGTGTCCGTTCTACTTATTTGCCCGACGTTTTATAAGTAGCAACAGGTCCTGCCTGATTTTAAAATTGCCGCGGAGATAAAAGAGCGAAGCAGGAAACAGCAGAAAACCCAGTTAAAATATGAAAAACTTGAAAACTCAAAGAAAACATACCCCCCCATGACAGCAAGAGAAAAACCCCTGGCCGGCCATCATTCCATTCCATGTAAATTAGCCAAAGTTTTCCAGTTGTGTCCAGCAGAAGAGAGCGCACATTTTTTAACCAACAAAAAACCAGAACCCAAATACCAGAAACCAGAAAACCCCACTGCTGCAATTACGCTTGATTGCCACGAAAATGCGTAAATTAAAACTTGAAAATGAAACAAAATACAAAAATACAACAAAATAACAAAGCGGAAACGAAAGCAACATAACAACAGCAAAAATAAGAGCAAAATGTTCAAGGGAAATGAAGGAAAGTGTGTGCTGAAAAATAACCAATGGAGCGAGGACGCAAAAAAAAACAACAAACTTTTGTGCGTTTGAGTGGGCGTTCGGTCGCGACGATGGCTCAAAGGGCAACAGGACGCATACTTAATTATATCTCAGAGTTTCATACTCATCCTCTCTCTTTCGCTCACTTAAAGAGATATTTTTGTGGTTTGCAGCAGCATAAAAATATATTCATTTATGGTAGAGACACAATTAATTAAGGTTCTGCCAGGGAAAAATCACACGCAAGTCCTTGGTACAACTGTGCAACAAGTCGAAACTTTCTCCAGCAGCAGATTTTATATGTACAGATAGACAGAAAGAAAGATAGAGAGGCTGAAAGGTAAAAGCAAAGGAAACAGACATGAGAAGAACAGAAGGAGAAGCAGGAGAAGAAGTACCAGGTAAAGTTTTGGCGTTTTAGCACCTGTTCCATCATTCATTCAGAATGAGAGTGTGAATGTGAATGTGCATGAATGAATGATGTATTTGATTGTTGGTCAAACTTGTTGATGGCCCGCACCCGAACACTTTGAGTGTGCTTCTGAGTGGGTATTCATTTATGAATAGATGTTTGGGAATATCATAGTCTTAGAGCCAACTTTAACCTTATTTTGTATGCATCATAACGCATTAAATATTCAAAAGATATTGGAGATATTTGTTTCCTTTCCAGTGAAACCAAATCCACTTTATTTTTTTGGTGACACTGACACTCTTTGTCATTTATTTGTCCTACTTTGCACCCAATGTCCATCCATCCAAACTCTTCCCCCTTTCTCTCCCCCCCATGCCGTGCTGTTGCCTACGCATTTCATAACACATTAAATATTTATCCAGCAAAAATATTTCAGCAACGCCGCCGCCACAGGGGCCACCGCATATTTGCGGTGTTTTCACTCATTTTTATTTTAGGTATTTTTGCCAGTGTATTTGGGTGTGTTTGCATTATACACGTAATATTAGTCAAGAGAGCGCAGGGAAAAATTATTTACATTTTTTGAGTTTGCAAATATTTGGAATGAACTGCAGAGGCGAGAGGTAAGGTGTCCTTATGTTTCATGTCACATGTCCTGCGACTGTCCTACAGCAAAATTCATAAATCTAGATCATTTGAATGGGGTTTACACGTAAAAAAAAAAAAAAAACTAAGGAAATGTTTAACTTATCTATCTGGAATTATTAAATGTATTGCTAACCCTTTATGTAGATGGGGAATAGTATTTATTTATAAATAAAATATTATGTATATTATAAATAATTATTATTTCCTATCGAATCGTTTTGTTGGTTGTTTCATTATCGTTTTGTTATTTAGGAATTGTTATCGTAATGATGGGTTATCGTTCTGTATAGTTATTTTAATTAATCGCTATCCTTATACATCGCTAATCGAAATTTAGCTCTAATTTATCTCGCAGTCTATCTGGCGAATTGAGGTCAAAGCTTTTAGTATGTTCTGTGGTATGTGGCAATTTTTGTGGTGCCATTTCTACGCCGAGTGACATTCAATTTTCAACTGCAACAACACTTTCCTCTCGCTATCCCACTCTCTCGCGCTCTCGTTGCGGCTTTGATGCGGAAATTGAAAACGTTAAGCAAGTCTCGATGTCTGGCATGCCTGAGAGCTGCGTAGAAATGTGGCAAGATATTGTCCGGAGCACGTTGGCTAACCATTTTGATGTTTATACCCCCTCTCTCTCCCGGCAATCCCCATTTAGTTGTTTGTTGATTTTCCGCCCGTTATGCTGCTTTTACTGCTTGTGCTGCCATTATAATTAGGCTCAAATTGCTGCACTTTACTTTGCATTTTAATTACGCGACGAACAACAACTCGACCGGAGAGGCAGGCGGCATCTTCAGCATCTCGGAAATGTTGCACAATTTAAACGAAAAACGAAAAGGAAAAGCGAAAACGAGGCAACAACATCCAAAGGGGGGAGCAGCATCGCTAACAAGTTGCTGCCTCACTGCCTGTCAGGGCCCCGACTGTCCGTCCGTTCGTCCGTCCGTCGGTCTGTCTGTCAGTCGCACAGCCCCGTGCCCCGTCAGCGTGTAGCATTTCAAGCAAAGTATTTAATTTCCACATCATACACACGGCCGCCCAGGCAAACAATGACGGTGGGGATGGAGGAGAGTAGAGCGATGTGTTCCTGAAATGTGTGCCAAGGCGAAGGCTGCCGCTTGCTGGGGTCCGTTCAACTTGAACGCGAGGCAAGGAAGGGGGCAGGGAGTGTCTTTAGCATTACGGTGTGCCACGAAAAGAAAAGCGAAAGGTAACCGGAATGCTGCCACGCAGAAAACTATGCTACACTTATTGTACGGTTGCTGCTGCTGCTGCTGCTGCTGTGGCTCTTTGTTTTCTTTTATGGGGTATGTGAAATTTGCCAAGGGACTTGGCAGACTGGAAAATAATTAGAAATCACATTCCCAGTTAATCAAATCTCAGCCACACATCTGTCCACATACAAATTATTGTAAAAATATACATATCATCTATTTTTAGAAAAAATAAAATTAAAAATTTCAATGCCCTACTTCAGGGGTATCTCTTTCGGGGGAGCTAAGGCACGCGCATCACGGTAAATGTCACTTCCAGCGTGGCAGCTTGACTGAAGCCTTCGACTGTGATTTCGGTGCAGGATGTGTACTGGAACCTGTCTATCAAAAGCATCCGCTTGACCTTGTTGCTTGGCCATCGCGCAGCCCTTTAACTCCACAGATGACACGGTTTTTAGGGCTGCGAGCTGGTGTGCAATACGTTGGATCTTCAAGGGCATCCCCGATCTGTTCGGAGCTTGGTACTGGTAAACATTACCCTTCCATCCTTTCAGGCACTCCCAGACAGTCATAAACTATTTTCCAGCCTCGTTTCAGACGCTGCAATGCCGCAAATTTGTGCCTGCCGTCCCATCAACGTGTCCACAAATGTGGATTGGAGCACCCCCGAATTCGAATAAAGATTGAAACTCTTTTGAAATGTATCTAGAGTCTATGATTGGTTTCCATTCGTTGACTGGGTGACTAGAGAGAGTACAAAATAAAATTCTATCGAATATTCAATAGATGAAATACTTCTATTCAAAGGCATTCCATTTTTAGTTACTGCTAAGCCCCACTGTAAGAGGGCGTGCCATGGGAAATTGTTTTCTTTATTCATTTAAAAGGATATCCATACTTTTCCTTGTACTTTCCATCACTGTTTCTTACTGTGACAACCTATTTTCCCCTTATTTTCCCAACGTTTTTCCCTAGTTTTCTTCTTTTTCCCCCTACTTCTTTCTCCTGCTGCTTATACTCCTTTCAGGAGCTTTCTTTTATTGTATTTTATCCATTTTATTGGTTTAATTTTGTCACGTTTCGAGCAGAGAAAGTAGAAAGTGCCGCCAAAGAGAAACAGAGGGAGAAACAGAAGCAACGACAGAAGCAAAAGGTTGTTGCAAATCATTTCCATTTCGCTTTCTTTCTTCCTTTTTGTTTTATTGTTGCTTTTCGGTTGCCGAGAGAGGGGGGGATCACAAAAAATATAACTAGCAAAATTTACCATTTTGTGCAGTGACTGCTCGAAAGTTTTCATCCGAAAACAAGTTGAAAAGTTTTATTTTTTGATAGGCACTTGAAGCAATATTTCCTTAAAGCGTCTGTGAGCCGTTAGAGTGGCAGTTGACATAAGCTTTAGTCCCGCCCCCCATAGTTGTAGGTTACTTTTAGTAGGGAAAAAACCTACCAAACCTAAACTGAATGTTATCTTTAAGGCTTCTGTAAACCCCTTAAAGAATTCGTAAACCCTTGCGTCTTTCATTTATCCCTTTAAAGGTTTCCTTCCTAACCACTAAATCAGTCATAATGTGCTTCAACTCAAGAGAGAGAGAGAGAGAGAAAGAGTGAGAGAGCGAAGGAGACAAAAGATTGAGGGAGTTGGGGCAGTGGTTATACCTGGCATTACACGGGGGTTCAAATGTCGCCGTTGACCCGCTGCCAAGTCAATAAATTCTCATTGCCTAAGCCATAAATCAGCATCATGGTGTCGCTAAGTGTCATTTTTTGTGTGACGTTCGGATGGCTTTTTACCTGGCCAAAAACAACAAGGGCGTACACCGTACACCTCCCTCTCCCCTTCTCTCTCACTCTCTCTGTCTATATATAGGGGGGGCGTGGTAGTTTGGATCTGCTACTGGCAGCACAGCGCGTTATAATTTACACCTGGTGAAAGTAAGGAAGGAAGGACAAAATGCCTGCTGCCTGAACCCCAAACTACAACTACAACTGTCATTTCGACCTTAAAAGAAAAGCAAGGGCTACCAGCAAGCTGGGGAGCTGGAAAAAGTCAGAGGGCGGTGTGGGGGGACAGATTCCCAGAAGGAGTGGAATATCTTTGTGGATGTGGAGGTTGCGGTTCGTTTGGTTTGACGCTCGATATAGTGCCATGGATATATATTTTACTCAAAAGCGAAATTGCTTGATTTGAAAATTGGCACTGCGATGGCTCAATGACAAAGAGGCGAGGCTGGCAAGAGCGAGCGCCAAGAGTGTTGGAAAGAGATGGATAGGTTGACAGTTAGACAGGGATAGTAATATGCTCCTGTGCAGTACAGCCAGCACCCACCGCTTGGTAGCAAGGGGATGGGGATGGGCGATGGGCGCATTGCATTCTCCAGTTGATTGATGACACGGGGGGAACCCGCTGGAAACCTCAAACAATTGGCATGCGGCACAAGTGCACAAATGGAAAAGTGTGGCAACAAATTGGATACGAGCATGTGTAGGGTTAAAGATCAACGTGGCAAATAATGGGTTAAATATCCAGCAGACAACGCTATAATAAATCACCAAATATGCATTTCCATTGCAGATAGATCAGCCGAGTTCAAAATGAGTGTATGTAATTAGCTGTGTGCGTATGAAATTAGCTGTGTGTATTTGATAAATGCATTTCATAATTTTTGGTGTGTGCATAGGTGTATGTAATACGCCTTGTATTCCTAAATATATTATTTATAATAGTTTCCATGACTTATATATTCCTAAATATATTATTTATAATAGTTTCCATGACTAAAAACACCTCGAAAATGATATCCCGACATGAACATAATTTGTCTGCCAGTAAAGTTCTCTGGACTGAAATCTCTCAAGTTTAGTGCACAAATCCTTATCCACCCCTCCCATCTATAGACTATAGACTGATAAAATGTTCCAATTAAATCCAATTCGATCAATAAAGAACACAGAGAGGCGCGCAGAGTCAACTTAAAGCTCTTTAGCACCTCACCGTCCCCCTGCCTCGCGCCCCACGCTATTGAAAGCCCATCTATCTGGGGGGCTTCCTGGGTTCCAACTCTTCATCCTTCTCCTGGCAGCTGCGTTGATTGCCGTAACAGCTTTTGAAATTAAGTCGCTGCAAGTTGCTGCCTCGTCGTTGCTAAGGAGGTGGCAGAAACGGTGGGCGACTGGTGGCAAGATGGAATGAGATGCGAGGCAGCTCGAAGCGAGGCGACACGCACACCCACTCCCACACACACCCACACACACACAATTGGCGCAATTGCAAGGATACTTTGATTTTATTTCATTTGCTGGCAACATCTGAGAGTATGTGTTGTGGGTGGTGCGGTGGGTGGGGTGTGGGTGGCAAAAATAAAATGCAGGCACCCCCACGCACAACACCCGCAGAACGGGGTGGGGGGAGAGGCGGCAGCAGCAGCAGCGAAACAGTTGCCAATAAAAATTGCATTGAAAACGCTTAACCAAGCAGCGTGCATCAAATTGATTTCATGCTCCTCCAACGTTGACTGTAGTTTTACAACGTGCATCATTCGCACAGACACACACACAGGACGCACAGGACACTGGATATGCGCGAGTAGAGAGCCCTAAAAAATATGCTACGCTTTTTTTACCCCCCGTAGAGTCGCACAAAAATATTGTCTGTCAATATTCGAATACCGCACATCCCAATCCCCACCATTCGCAAAAGCAGAAGCCGCACCCGCACTCGAACCCCCCGCCACCCGGAAAAACCATTGAGAGAGACGAACGGTAACGAAATGTAATTTTTGTTTTCCAATAAAATGAAAAACGAAAAGGAAAAGTGTGGCGGAAAAATAAACAAAAGAAATAAAAATACTGCCGGTTAAAAAACAAAAAAAATAAACTACGAATAGTGTTTGCTCTGGTCCATGGTCAGGGAATCAGTGGCTTGGAAAACCCTTTTACCTAAAATTCGAGTAGAGTTGATGAAGAAAAATAATTTTCGTGAAAAAGAAAACAATTTGAGAGAACTCTGAAAATTGAAGATATGCACAGCAGTGTGCACTGGCTGCATTTTGACCAGAGAATCGGTTCTGAATGTTGCCAAATTTTGTGACTGAAATGTCTGAGGAAGCGCAACAGTTTCTATAGTCTCGGAGAATGTTTTTAATTGGTTTTTGAGGTAGTACTACGTAAGACAGCAATTATGTTAGAAATAGTTCCATTCTAAATAAAAAGCTCACGCTTCAAGGCCTTAAAGTTGTACATTCCATGTCCACATTCCACACTCCACCTGGCTGTTCCACAGCCTAACAAACTAATCTCGAATTGTAAGGATTTCCCTTTGGAAAGATTTGCCTTTGATATGTTGGATAATCTCTTCAGATATGTGCCACATGAATGCTGAAAAGAAACCATCGTTTGGGGCTTCGTTTGTACGCGAATCCGAATGTTAATGCCACACACAGAATGGAGAGAGTATTATAAAAGGAGGGTGTAGAGGAGCGATGGGGGGAAGCGCAAAAGTGGCATGCGGGAAAAACGTGAAAATTGCCGCCGCTGTTTTCGATTTTTACGCTCAATCCCTCAATCAGCGCCCATCAGCCGCCTGACACCCACCCACCCAGCAGTGTCTCTCTCCGCCTCCATTGAGGCAGCCATATATGTATGGGGGGACTCAGAGGATATGGCGCATGCCTTTAAACTTGTTATTTCAAGGATATGCACAGCGCGTCCCTGCACCAGAGAGAGAGAGAGAGAGAGAGACAGACAGCGCGAGAACCCAAAACTGACAATCGCGTATTCGGCTTTGGCAACACAATTTTTTGGGAGGGGGAAGAATGCGAATGCGAATGCTGCTGCCAGATTTCTTTATCTGCCATAAGCATCGAAAACTACATACAAATTCATGTCGAGTCTCATATCTATTCAATTTGCGACTCTCAGCAATTGTTTGGCATGTTTAGCGGCTCACTGAGCAATTTTCAGAAATGCGAACAGAAACATCCTTTTGGCCATCTACTACTGCTCCAGAGCCAGAGACAGAGACACGCAGAGCCAAAGACAGCGTCTCAAAGCCAAGCCAAAACAGTTGCCAATTGCCATGTGAAAAACTGTGCCATCGTGCCTCTGATCCAGAAACAATAATAAAGGATCAACTGTTGTGCATGGGAACGGTAAAGGGGATGTAGGGGGGCACTTAAATATTTATATAAAAATATATATTCAATATCTTGAATAAGCCGCTCGTTTTCATTCACTTTTCATTCCTTTTATTATATTTACACAACTGTTTTTGAGCGACAGCAGGGGGGAAAACACACACCACACATGTTTTTTTTTCTGCTCATAAAATTTTATGAATATGACAAAAATATTACATACTGGTACGTACATTTGGTGCAGCGTAATACGAGTGCGAATACACAGTAATGCAGCACAGCTGGAGACAAAGTGCAGTTGGTTTTAGTGCCCGTTTTTAGGTTTACTAAAGAAACAAAACATTATAACTAAAAGGTGGAAAGTAGTTAAGTTCTCTGAAATAAATATAGTAAATATCACGTATTCTTATGTTTATCCCAAAAGAAAATAGGACTTTTTTATACTCATACTAGAATTAATTTAGAATTAATATTCGCCAAACGCTTCATTAAATTTAACTCATTTAATCAGAATATATTCATAATTTCCATAGATGATCAGCCATCCGAAAAAAGGGTCACTCATTCTAGGTACATACATATGTACATATTTATGACTAAATTAATAGATTT